TTTTAGTTAAAATTTATTTATTTCATTTATTCATTTAAATTTAAAACTAATTCAATAACGAATTAAACATAGTTATAATCTGAATTAAAGTATATTTACTTATAAATATAAGCTCTGATCCAGTACTCCATGAACTTACAGGATTTTACACGAACTTGCAGGAAGTTGCAGGAAAAATGTTCCCGTACTCCAAAATCCTGTAAATGAGAGCGAATTTGGAGAGTTGTGTAGAGAATGAAGTTGCAAGATTTTACCCGAACTTTTGCTTCTGGTAAAATCATGAAAAGTGTCAAGCAATCACTGGTTGACGTTTTTACAGGAAAAATGGTTTTTTTGTTCCCGTACTTTTTGTTGTTACTCATTCTACTCTCTGTTCAGAGAGTAATTTTGCTGTTTGACAGTTTTACAGGATTTTTCACGAAAAGTATTGGATCAGAGCTATAATCTCATTTAAAGTTCGTTTTTTAATCACCCCGTTTACCCAGACAAATCTCAGATTATTAGCTGTAAAATTTGTTGTGTTATTCTCAAGGAAAAGTTAAAACCCTGCTCTGTGCCACAGTGAGCACTTTTTTTTGCTATATCAAGCAATATTTAATATTTGTTTAAAAATACTTTTTACTCTTTTCCTTACTAGCGTCCATTTTTGTTTACTTTTTCATTGAAAACGACGAGTTACGGGCAAAAGCTTCCAATTTGTTATCATTATCAAAACGCTTTGTCGATGGCGACATAATTTTTTTGAACGCGGCAGCGACAACATGAATTTGTACGAGTTTGGTACAAGGAGAGGAAAACCCTTATCTGTCGCTTGAAAAATAGAAATAGATCTAAACTGGCTACAACCACAGTTGTCAAAATAATTTTTCTAATTTTTTTTAGATGTTTGAAATTTGGACTTGCATGGTTTTTGTTAGATAACGAACTATAATAATAATAATAATAGATTGGCGCTTACACATATGTTAGTGTTTGGCCGAGCTTCTCCTCCGATTTGTGGCGTGCGCCTTGAAGTTGTCACACAAAGCGGAGGGACCTACAGTTTTACGCCGACTCCGAACGGCGATTGTATTTTTATGAGAAGCTGTTTTTCATGGCAGAAATACACTCGGAGGTTTGCCATTGCCTGCCGAGGGACGACCGCTGTTAAGAAAAAACCTTTTTTCTATATTTTTTTGCGATGTTGCTTTGACCAGGGCTTGAACCCAGGCGTTGCGGAGTGGAAGCGCGCACTGCTTACCACTACACCACAGCGGCCGACTATACGACGAACTATACTTTCGTAAAAAATAATAAACATTCAATTAAAAAAAAAAAAAAATCATTATTAGCCAAAGCTTCGTAAAATGTCCTGTCTCTATTTATCTTTTTGTCTCCGTATTAATGCTTTTTTACACTTTTGGCTGACAAATGCGAAGGCCTTATCTCATACATCTGACTTTCTAACGAAATTAAATGACTTGTTTAAAGAAACTTATTTTGTAGTTTTTAATAAGGGACACTAAAATTGCGTTTAAAACTAGCGTTCATGTTTTTATAAAAATATAACCCTATTAAATATAATTAGTGCAGTAGTAAGGACCTGATATTTTTTATACCCGGAGCGCACTTGTGCCTAAGGGTATTATACGTTTTTTCACATAACGGTTATTTGTAACAGCGTGATTGAGCGGTGACTGTCCGTCTGTCCATCCGTCCGCCCGTCTGTGCACTTGGTACGCGTATTTCTTTTGAGCCTAGGACGGATTGTATTGAAAATTAGCAAAATCTGACAATAACCACACCTTCCTCCCATATAACTGTAGTTTTCAGAAATAAGAAAACTGCGATATTTAAGTAACTACTGAAGCTTACTCGCTCAAAATTGATATTTACAATGATTTTTAGGCGAAAAGTAAGAATATTGTAATATTTTAGAAAATGGGCGTAGCCTCGCCCTCTTATGACTACATATCTGATTATATATCTTAGTCACCGCTCTCCACATGAAAATTAAAAAAAAAATCGGACAATAACTGCGCCAACATCCCATATAATTGTTAGAAATAGGGGCCACTCTAGTTTTCAAAAAGGTGAAAATCTATATTTAATATTCTTTTACTCGTTTTTCTTAAGAAAGTATCGATACTATCGAATGGTGAGGCTGAAAACTATGGAATGGTTCAACCATCGATAATTTTGCAGCTCTATACCACACTACGGGTACTTACATACAGGGTGTCGCACAGGTTTTTTGGAAAATAAAAGGATCCTTTCTTTTCCACAGATTTTATTTTAATTAAATTAATTAGTTTTTGAACTTTAACCTTCCTTTGGGCTTACTAGCGGTAAACTCTTTGAGAGAAAACGGCAAGCGGTACGCAATTTTTCGTCGGTTAATATAACAATAAAATACTTTTTTTTTGTTAAAAAAAAAACTGTGCGACAGTTATTATTTTACACCCTGTAAATAAGTACTATTATAAGAAATGTTTAACACGAAGAAAAGAGCTTTACAAAGGTTCAATCACAGGTTCAATCAAAATGATTAGTTGTTCCTATACAAAGTCATTGCCGGTTCGGCTGTTATGATATGCTTTTCATATGCATTCATAGTAGATAAAGCCGACGCACTATGTTCTTGCTTGAAACTCGCCGAATTTATTTTCGGAGGCGAACTTGTACAAGTTACGCGCGTTTGCTGTTTTATGTGGATACAATGGCAGCGTAGGTATACCAAAAAATACTTGGTACCTGGCAATTCCCTCACAATTCACAATGATACCGCCATTGTGTTATCGTTTTTCAAGTAAAAAAGGAAATAAAAGAAAATTATTTTTGTACATACTATTTTGTAAAATAAGCTTTGGATTTGGCTTTGATCATAGTACATAACATGAAATGTGTAAGGTTAAAATTATCTGGTATTCATAGAAATTTATTAAAGATACGTAGTCTTGATGTTTTGAAATTTTCGTTCTAAGCCAATGGATAACTAACAGATAAAGAAAGGAGTGTGAAAATACATTTGAGGATACCTCAAGGTGTTTTGCAGATGTTAATTTCGTTGTTGATTTTATGTTACTTAGTAGCTAAGCAGGTATAGACAAACCCGTTTGTTCTGAGTTAGCCCACAAAGACGAGTTGCTACTGTAGTTAATTTTTAGCATATTTGCTATGTGCATATGTACATATCGTCGTTTAAAGTACAAAACCGCGTATCAAGAAAATGGAAACCCTCGAATATAAGTTTGCCAAGATTTTGTAGGTGAGAGAAACAATATTTTGAAATACGTGTTTTTCTCTAGAAAATAATATATACAACCTCATATACGCGGTTTTGCATTATCTTGATACGTGGGTTTGCACTTTGTTGATACGTGATTTTGTACTTTAAACGACGATATATAACGTAAATACAACAAAGTTATAAAGGGCTCAGTTTGGAAAACTGCTTCAAGAGAAAAACAAAAGTATACAGCAGTTTCTTCATTTGATCTTAAATATATACATACATACACATGTAGATGTACATATGTACTTTTGTATGTACAGCAATGTCCGCGAAAATAGCAGCGTGACGCATTGACAAATAAATTTTCTTGTTTTTAATAGGGGTATTAGTCAAAATGTGTCTTTCATGCACGCACCGCACCACAAGATCAAGTAAAAATCAAAAATTTATTAATTTTTTAAACAAATTCCCTCATCTTATTTACAGTTCCCTAATGCTTTCGGTACAAATTTACGGAATTTGTATAGATGACTTCCCATAAAAATTTTGACAGCTAGTTTACCCGTTCAGACGCATACCCTGAATGTTAATTATTTTTTATAAACATGTACATATGTACATAAGTTATTCCACAACAAAATCATACGAATAAAAGTTTAACTGCCAGTTCCACAAAAGCAATTTAAGTGAAAATGATTTTTTCCTGTCAGTTGCCATATTGAATTCAAATAAACTAAACTAAAACTTTCCACAAAATTTATAAAAATTAAACATACTACAAAAAACCCAAAATTTGCACCTTTTAAAATTAGAAATTATTAGAAAACTTTCTGGTATGCAGTTTCATTAATTTTACTAGATACTGTGATAAATATAGGGCAAGTTTGAAACGTTTTAAAATTTCGATGGTCTTTGAGAATTTTTTTCGTTAGAGGTGTTGCTCTTTTTCTTCCATTTAAAGCATGCTCAATTTTTTTATATACAGAACAGGAAAAATAAAATATAAAAATTAACGCGAGATCTTAGCCACTTAATACCTTATTTATTATATTAAAATTTAATTTTCAATGAAATTACATACCCGAAATTTTTCTAAAAATTCTGAAAAATGTTTGATATTTTGGTGAAAATTCGTTTGATATTTATAATTTTTGTAGAAAGTTTGAAACATTAATTTGTATGATTTTTGTTGTAGAACTAACTATATTTTTATAAAAAAATAATTAAAATTAAATGGAAGGAAAATAAATTGTCAAAAAGTTGTCAATACGTCGTGCTACAATTTTCGTGATCACTGCTGTAAATGTCTATGTGCTGATCTTTCTAGCATTGTTACCACCACTGAGCGAATTGCTATGTTCTCTTATTCTTGACTATTACTGACCCTTTCTGCAGGTAGCTTGCCATTTATGTCGACGTTATTTGAGTTTCTAAGTCATCCCTTGTATTTTGCTTTCTCCCACATTTCTTTGAATTCCTATGGAATTCTGGCAATTCTGTATATTCTGAGACATATGTATATACGCATACATATGTACACATAAATGCATCCTCTAACCAACCACGCTGCCAGGTGCGGTGCCTTTTAGTGCGTTATTTTGCTTTCATTGTATTCCTTTACCTGTGAACACTGAAGGAACATAATCTTTTAATTTTAATTTCTTTTTTTTTTTTTAATCTAAATCAGTCTATTTAGTTCTGCAGCCTACTGCCCGCATTGATTTAAAAAAATTTTGTGGCGTACGTTTTTTAACTATTAAATACATAAAAAATTTTATAATTTTAGTTTTCGTTTCGTGGCTTTAAGCATATAATACATCATATTAAAGACGGCACAACTATTACTAAGCTATTATTAACAAAAAATGGCATGTGCAACACTCAAACGTACTTTAGACTGGGAAGCGTTAAATCAACGGCCTTCGAAACGCAGACGTTGCAATCCGCTCGGGCATTCATCAGGAAATGGATCATCACCATTGCGCTCATCTGCAGCTGCCATCACTTCCTACGAAAACATTCATAGTCCCAGCGGTAGCCGCATTTCTAAGGAACCACAGCCCAATCCATTCACAGAGGCCAATCTGTCAAAAATTTCTCCAGGTAAGTATAAAGTGGATTTTCAAAAAGACAAAGAACTAATGCTTCTCTCCGTATTCAATTTTATAAATCAGATAAAATGGCTCAGGATATTCGAGATGAAATCAAACGACTGCACCGCTGTAAACGTCTTCAATTTTCATCGTCCACCATAGACGGTATGCAACAGGACTCAGAATCTAGTGGTTCCGAAATGGGCGCCGAAAGTCCACGTCGTCCAGACACCCCACCGAGCTTGGTGCGTAACCCGGAGAAGGCGCTTTTTACATTTAAACAGGTGCAATTGATATGCGAACGTATGCTGAAGGAGCGAGAAGATGAGATACGTGAAAAATACAATGCTGTGCTGACTACGAAGCTCGCCGAGCAGTATGATGCGTTTGTAAAATTCACTTACGATCAGATACAGAGGCGCTATGAAGCCACGCCAAGCTGTGAGTATAAATTTTAGTTGCATGTACCTACATATTTTCAGTGTCGAACATAATAATAGGGTCGTAAAATTTTGGCGTATTTGTTTAATGTTTATTACTTTTTTATTTATAAAAGTAAAGATTGCTTTTTATCTAACAAAAACCATACAAATAAAAGTTTCAAAATTTGTGCAGAAATTATAAAAATTCGGCAAGGTTTCTGCAAAATTTCAAATTTTTTAATCAGAATCTTTAGAAAGAAAGGTAGCTCATTAATTTTAGGTACAATAACTTCTGCAAAGTTTCAGAACTTTAAATCAAAACCCTTAGAAAAAATGAAGCCCATTAAATTTTAGTAAAATAAATATCAGCTTTCAAGTTGCGTTTTGACAATTTTATTGTCGATAGTTTAACGCCTTTTCTTACATATAGAATAGTTTTCCGATCTACGTGCTACAATAGTGCATACCAAAGTTTTTTCTACAGACTCTGATTAAGAAGTTTGAAATTTTGGTGAAACTTTGCCGATTTTTTTATAATTTTTGCACAAAACTTGAAATTTGGATTTACATGGTTAGTTTTAGATAATAAGCCAATAATAGAAACAAAAGAGATATTCAAAAATTTTCAAAACGTCGCGACATTTGTAATTTGTACGTATGTAAAAATAGTGTTAATGGTATTGTTTCGAAACAAGCATCATGATTTTTATTTTGTTGCTATCTTCTTAAACGCATTAATGCAAAGCATCAGCCTATTATTTTTTAACTAAAGGCTTAAATAGTATTAAATTTGCGCAACTTTATTGCACATATTGGACATTGATATAAGTCATGATTTGGAAATAAATGAGACTGATGCTTTGCATTTATGCGTTTAAGTGTTTTAGCGTCACGTTTAAATACAATAATATAATAACTTGCACCTAGAAATTGCCTTAAAATGTGTATAAGCAGAAAATTTATTTTTTAATTAATTTCTTCAGTTGTTTATGGCGAACTTTTGTATTTGAACTATATATGCTCATGTTTTCTGTTCATATACAGCTTTTTTAGCACTGGTATGTGTATATGTATGTTTTTCATATCCGGTTTGATACTAGTTCATTGAGGCTGCAGCATACCTTTAGGCATTAGGTATTGTAGGTCACCTCGGCATCTTTAATTATGTACATCCGTTTTAAATGATTTTTGACAAATTATTGATATAAATCGAATACTTATCATTAAAACTACATATAATTGAAATAAATCATTTAACATCCTTAAAACAATCCAGCCTAGTGACCATTAGATTATAATTATTACACCAACCAACCTCTCCGAAATAAACATCACATTTCATAATTATTAGACTAACAAAACTAATAATAATAAGTTTATAAATGATTAGCTATGTATTAATACAGTTAGTTATATAATTCTATCTTTTATTGTCTTTTTCAGATCTTTCATAATCGGACCTCAGGCGTACTTTATTACTAGTCGCTAAGATTTCATCGCAAATATACATAAGTACTGTATGTATATGCGCATTTTTTTTTTTTTTGTTGAAAACTACAATGGAATGGAACGCCCATCCTAACTATTGACAATTTGAAGAAGAGAACTGAAGCGAAAGCATTGAAATATTCGTTTAAATTATGAAAAACGCCCGAAATATAAAATGAAATGGATTGACTCATAAAATTAGCTGGCGTATTTAAGTTTTTGCATTCAATTAAGTCATCGTCTTGAAATACCTTTCCGTTAAGGCAATTCTGCTAAAAATATTACTATAGATAGAAAACAAGGAGCCTCATTGCGAGAGTCGTATCGAAGGCAAGTCGTTGGTCGAGAGTCGAATCGTAAAGAAAATTTCGTGTCATTGCCTAAAATTTCGACTCGACTAGTGTATTAAAGCGGAAAAACTTGGCAGCACTGCATACTTTTCGACGATTTTTGTCGTTTATATTTTTCAGCATGACAGTAGACAATGCCAATGTTGGCGAGTCGTGCAATTTAGCCTAATTTACGTCTTACGCACTGAGGCTGCAACTATAAGTAAATACATCGCAAAACATGTTTGAAAGCGAGTGTTTGTTAAAAATATATATTCTAATTTTTATAGACTGGGTTGTAAGTTATAAAAAACTTTGTGGCAGGCACATGTGAGATATTCGTAAGAACTAATTTTTTCATCACAACCTTTTTTTATTGCAATAATTATTCGAATACAAATTTATTTTTTCACTCAATTATGCATATATGAGAAAACATTCGAATACTTACGAATGAAATTGAAGAAGCAGAACTTATCAGCCAATCGTTCGCTCGCTTTCTTAACATAAAGACGCCGAAAGTATACTAATAAACTTTTAAGCAGTCTGCGCAATATTTAAGCAATTGCAAGCAAATGTAAATTGTTTAAAAAATAAGAATTCAAAGCTTTGAAAGCCATAACAATTCTTTGAACTACACTCGCAGCAAAGAAAGCTGCAAAATTTGAAATAAAACAAAAATAAAGCAAAAAGAAACACAACAAAGCATCAATACAACCAACAAATAAACAACAATTAAAAACCTCAGCATCAGTAAAACATAATTATATACACAAAACTATATATTATATAAACTTAGTATAGTGCAGATATTAGGCTAAACAAATGAATTGATAATATTATTATTTTAATAATAATAATGAAGTGAAGAAAAAAATAAATAAAACTTGGAACTTATTAAAAGTAAATAACCGAACTATTGGAGGTATTGATTTTTGGAAAGTCATATTATTTGGTGAATTAATTACCGATAACAAATTTGGTCGATTGCGGATGTCAACCGATTATTCAGATGTTAACTGAAAACTGGCACTTCATTTGCTACAATGGGCATTAGGAAGGAAATAAATAAAAAATAAAATTTGTACAGTTAAGCAAGGCATATTCAACAAGGCAGAAGTGACAATTCAGTCGAGCTCTCTCATAGCTGACTGTAATGTCAAAAGATATAATCAAAGAAATTAACCCTTTGTTATGCATTTCCCATATTTGATAAAACTCAACAATAGCCAAAATAAGTCGACTCCTAAAGTTAAAAGCAGCTTTTTGACGATAGTCGACACTATCGATAGTATGCGATAGTTTTTTTGAAACCATCCATAACTATCAATAGTTTGCGATAGTCTTTTAAACTTAAAATTTGGCTTTATATTGCGCCTGGTATATTTGTAAAAAAATATTTCCTACAAAGCAGTAAATCGCAAGCTTTTATGTGGCAAGTACGATAATTGCACCGAGTTTGGTACAAATTGAAGGACGGTGTCACGCCCATTTTCCAAAAATTTGTTATAAACGTATTCTTTGCTAGAGAGTTATTCCAGACATCAATTTTGAATAAATTCGCTCGTGTAGTTGCTGATTTATCGGAGATCTCGTATATCTCTAAATTACCGTTATATGGGATGTCGGCGTGATTATTGTCCGTTCTAAAACGCTTTGTAACCCGGAAAAAAGCCAATTTTTATTAATGAGTTCTATGTAAAAAGACCTGATCTTTCGATTGAGATAACTAAAAAGATTAGAAATGACCATCATTGAGAAAAATTACAAATAAATTTTCGTTTGAAATTTCATCATGAAAATGGGAAAGTTTTGGAAAACGCATACCGCCGTCGGATAGCCCGTACAATCTTTAGAAATCATAGTTTTCGAATTGTTTATCCCATTTTATGTCTGCTTCCCAGCTAGTCGAAAAGTAGCTTGTTTTGCACCGCTCAGGGCGCCTGGGACATTTGAGGACTTATTCAAACTCGATAAGATCCCCAAATTTCGTCCTTCTAACTTTATCAGCCTCAAAAATTACCTTTTCGTCCTTGTGAATCCAAAAAATTTTAATTTTGTTTAAATTCTAAAGAAATTTCCTCTTTCATTTGGTACCTATATTTTTATTCTAAATTGCATTGAATTTTTTAAATAATTTTAATTTTCATGTCTTTGAAATAGCAAAGTTCTTTAAAATAAATCCTGACGTCATGGAGAAAAAATAAAAACGCCACTTTAAATAAAAAAGTAGGTTTCAAACCCATTTATTTATTATTTATTTTGTGGTAGGAGAGATAGATGCAATTTTTTCGATTTGAGTCGTTGAAACGTAATGAATGTCTAAATCCCCGGGATCCCGGAATTGTGATAATGACATCTCGAAAATCCCGGGATCGTAAAAAGCGAAAAAATTAACATCCCTAGTACATACATATGTATGTATTATCAATACCGTACTTTTACCGAAAAGTGTCAGGCATTGAAAAAGTGGCGTGACACCTCCCAAAAAAATTGAAAATTTCACGTCGCTTAACTCTGTTTTAAGATTTGATACAGCTGCTGTTGCTCATACGCCACCGCGTAATCTTAATAGAAACCAAAAAAATGTATGTGAGGTACATGTACAACTGAGGTTGCGTTGTCATCGATAATTTTAAGTCTATATTTTAAGGAGATATACGTTCAATATTTCGTACGTTACTAAAATTAGAAACACCATTCAAAATTCAAAATCAAATGAGAGTTCTTACCTTGCAGGACGTTAAAGAGAACAAACAACAACATAGACTTATTTTTTTATTTGCTTGAAAACAATAGCTGGGCAAATGCACGACCAAAATGTTGCATACAGCAATATAATTTTATCGAACGCAAACAACTTTGAGACAATGTACGATCGTAGTAAATTTATTACGATTTTAAAAATCTTAATATATGGGGTAGCGCTTTTATATTTGTATTTTTCATTCAACTTATGGCTAACAACGATCTATAAATAACTATTACTTTAAAAATTTAAACATTTTGCGATTTTTGTGTTTTCGATCAAGAATAATAGTTATTTATGAATTTTTATTTTTTCGACCAATTTTTTATTTTTATTTAGTTGGCTGTATTATAACCGTTGCTTTAAACTTTAATTTTTAAGATCATAAAAGATTTAAATCGGTTATAAAAAGGCAATTTGCTTTACAACAGCTGAAAACGATAAAAAATCCAAAATAATGATCATTTTTGACCGAAAAAAATAAAAATCCCAAAATAATGATACATTTTGACTGAAAAAATAAAAACCAAAACTTAACGATTATTCTTCTTCGAAGAAATAAAAATCAAAAAGCAACGATTTGGCAATAATCGTAAAATAAAAATCTGGATATCTAACAGTTATTTTCGGTCCCTGAAAATTTCTTTAACAACTAAATTGGTCTTAAAGTTATAAGTCTGAAAAATGCACTGGTAACGTACAATTTTAAGTTCGGGGAAAAATTAATTTATTTTTTGTTATTTTTTTTGGCCTTTAACAATTATATTCAACAATTTTATAATGAGCACGAGGCCATTTTTCAAAATGAAAATTTATTGTGGAAAAGCAACAATAATTTGAAAAAATGGTAGAAGTGATAGCTATTTCGGAAATCACCACATTTCCTCATCAGACTTCTTTCAGTAGGATTCGAACCGACGATCCCACTGACTCAGCCAGTTGCCTATGCACCGTGCTAAGACGCCTTGTAAATTATCGTTTGCTTATTTCCACTATTTTCATTTTTTGTTATGCCAACACAATCAAGCGCAGCTATTCCGCTGCAATTCACTTGATCATGTGGAAAACTTAATAAAAAAAAAAAATAAAAATGAAAATGAAATTTTAAACTCAAGAATTGCGTAAATCTATTTGAAATCTATTAATTTTACAGCTGGCTTTTGAATCTAACGAAATCTTACAAAAATTGTTTCCATTTCCAAATATGTACATGTATTTATGATGATTTTCTTAATTTTTTATACGAAAATTATAATTGCGTTCCATAAGTACTCTTAAGTCGACTTATCTACTTTTTCCTTTTCGTCGCAAATTTACCCAGTGGGAATTAGGAGCACGTAATAATACCTTATTAGCAACTTACTCTTCACCTGGCAGTCATTACCATTTACCTGCCGAACGTCCCTTACTTTTACAAAGGCATGGCCGCCTTATGTAAGTAGGAATTTAGAATGTACATTTGGTATCAGACATACTTCTGAGCCGCTATACAAAGTAAGTTACGTGTAATGCAGAGCAGTCGCTCGGAGTAGTTCGGTGCTTGGAAATAACTTCGGCTGCACGTTATTTTGCAACTGACAACGTAATGTGTCTTCGGAGGTGTTCATTTTGCCCTTTACTAGTAGATGACATTAGCCATGATGACAATTTTGGTACTAAAAACTGAAAGAAAACATGGCTTACCTCGGAAGGTGCTTACCTATTTTCCCAGTGGGTAAATTATGTATCCAATTGTGGGCATTGCACCTGATATAATGGACATATATGTATGTATGCATGTGTCCATGTGTACATATGTATGTATGTATGTGCAGAGATTTGCAGGAAATTCTTCAATTTTCGTGCATAGATACATACGTATTTATATAAGTATATGCATATAGGCGGCCTTAACCAATTAGGCGCCCCGGGTGAATCATGTGTTGGCGCCCTTTCATATTTGATAATTCCATTTTTCATATTTGATATTTCCACTTTTAAAAAACAGATGGAAACCAATAACAAACGAACCATCAACTTTGTTTCTGATGCGCTGATTGCGCTACCGATGCGTTTCAATAAATTTTCGGATGCGTTTTGGAAAAGTATACATCGTCAACATTTTGTAGTTCGGCGTTATGGAGCATTATACTTTGTACGCAAGCAAAGCAATTGACGTTTTGGAAGTCAGCCAGATATAGACAAATGTATACATAAATGATCAGAATAAAAAGAGAAATCGATTAAGCGGTGACTCGAGTAAAAATTTAGATATCTTAACGAAACTTGGTACGTGCACTTTTTTCGGGCGTAGGACGGATGGTATTGAAAATAGACAAAACGGACAATAACCACGCCTACCTCCCATATAACGGTAAACGGTTCAGAAATGGCCTTGGTACAGCATACTAAATGGTCGAAAATTTTAAAAATCGGACAATAACCGCGCCCACATCCCATATAACGGTAATTTAGATAAATGTGAAATCCTTGATAAATCAGTAAATATTAAAGCTAATTTATTCAAAATTGACGCTTGCAACCATTCTTTACCAAGAAATACATTTATGATAAAATTTTGGAAACGCCTGCTTTTGATCATATACATATACATATGTATCTCGCTAACCGTTCTACCAATTTGTACCAAACTCGGTATGGTTATTGTGCTTGCCACATAAAAGCAAAGCACTGAAAATTATTGAAATCGGTCTAAAATTGAAGCCGCTTTTCATATAACAGTAAATTTCAGAAATGGTTAAAACTTCAATATTTCGAAATTTTAGGACGCTAATTTACTCAAAATTTATACATCCCGTCCATACCATGTAGTGCTAGCTTTCGGAAAGGTGAAAAACATATATTTAATACTGGCGCCGGGTATTTAATGTTCGGCTCCGCCCGAACTTAAACTTTCTTACATGTTATTAAATAGAAAGTTCCAATTTTGAAA